AGCCATAAGATGGTTTTATAGGTCCAGGTAATAGTGGACGAGATTCAGTAGACTTCAGAAACAAATGGCCAAGAGAGCCATGAAATGGTTTCATAGGTAAGGTAAACAGTGGACGAGATTCAATAGACTTCAGAGACAAATGGCTAAGAGAGCCATGAAATGGTTTCATAGGTCAGGTAAACAGTGGACGAGATTCAATAGACTTCACAATATAGAGCCATGAGATGGTTTCATAGGTCCAGGTAATAGTGGACGAGATTCAATAGACTTCACAATATAAAGCCATGAGATGTTTTTATAGGTCCAGGTAATAGTGGACGAGATTCAGTAGACTTCAGAAACAAATGGCCAAGAGAACCATAAGATGGTTTCATAGGTCCAGGTAATAGTGGACATGATTAGAAGAGAAAACACTATTTGAAGGGTAAAAACAAGTCTTGTGAGTCTCTTGCTCGCAACAAGATCTTTGTGGCCATTGCTTTCAATATGTATCGGATGATAATTACAACTATCTATTGAGGTATTCATGATATATTCAAAATTAATGGCCATGTCAAGATTATTGCACCTTCTTAGAAATCCATCCAAGCGTAAGTGATGTGATTGTGCCAATCATCCACAGTTTCTAGGACAATTGATATTTATAGAATAAAACAGACATTGCATTATTATTGGGTGTAGTAGTGAAAATTCAACTAACACGATTTGATGTTCAAATGTTAATTAGATTTTATACCAAAGCCTGAAACACAGCTCATTGATTTGAACGTTGTTTTGGTGAGAGAACATTAACATTATATATTCTCATAAAATTGAAATAATTACTAGATTTAAATAGTATATATATTTAAGGAGGTTAGCAAGAGATTGATTTTTTTTCAGCCCATGCTGCCTATTTTTCATAGAAACATGCACAAAAGTTTTGATGACATTTTGTACTTTTGTTTCTCAAAACATTGTCTAGTGACTAAAATTGTTTGTTTTGTAATGGCACAAACCAATAATGAAAGTATGGAACAAATGATGTATAACAACCTTTGACATAGTAACTAAAATGGTCTTCAATTCAGTTACAATTCCCAAAAATCAACCCAATATGTAATCCTGGTTGCCAACTTCTACTGTTGCAAAATAACTCTGGCAAGTGTGTGTTCAAACATCATTTGTAAAAATGTTCAGGCCCATACTATTGGTGGCTCTAGTCTCAAACATTTGAAGTTAAAAATGTTAATCTGAATGTTCACCAAGCTATATAATCTGACTGAAAAAATGTCTAAACCAATTTTTTTGCTCAATGACAGCAGTAGATACATATATTATCAAAATTCATAATAATAATGAGGTGAACTTCATCTTGGGATAACCTTGGTTTGATATAAAAAAGGCCTGCTAGCTCAACCTTGGGCATTCTAGGTGAATAAATGCTATTCAGGATTATATTTATTTAAATCTATGATTTTTGTACGATAATATAAGCATTGTTTCCCAGAGTGCACTTAACTCTTACAAAATAGCCGAAATGACATTTTGGATGGAAGACGTGTAGCCTTAAGACATTAATTTGGCTCATTTCTGTAGCAATGAGACCGGCGTATGCGTCATTATTCAGTATAATACGCACCTATCAAAATTTGACGTGATCGTGGTTTTACGAAACGTCAAAGGCATCTGCTTTTCGGTATTTTATGATGGGTTTTAATGACAGTAAAAAGGTCTATTATTGTGAAAATGACAAAAGCTTTGAAGGATTACCTATTCGATTGTATCCATCGCGCACGGCGACTATATTTCTGATCAATTTTCTAAAAAGCTATATATGATCAGTAAATTGCAACCGAAAGGCTTAATATGAAAATGCAAAAAACAAGTAGTATAATATGATATGAAAAATGCGCAAAACAAGTAGTGGCTATATATCTATTACGAATTATTTATTCGGACTTGAGTCATTTCCATAGAAACATTTTCTCAATTACTTGAGAAGAAAGCTGTAAATTTGATTAAAAATGTATATACACGATAGAAAATGAAAACTGTGTACAAAATATGTTTCAACTAAAAATTCATTCACATCATCTGCCTGATAAATCTTCAAGCTGTTTTGTCTGAGTTAACAAAAGATCATCTTTGAAAATGTAGGAATTTAATTGGCTCATTTAAAGTCAAATTGCAGTGGTAATTTAACTCAATTTTCAACCCACACTAGGTCTTTTCTTGAACATAATATCTGGTGTCCTTTCACAATCGGCTTTCTCAGAGCAAGAACATTCATTCTTCAAGAAGATTTCATGATGATTAATTCCCTACTCTCGACAATGGTTGTGTTCGGTTGCCATGGAGATGGTTTCTGTCTAATAACAAAAAGTTGTTGAGTTTTGTGAAAGTAATTAATTTTACCAGGTATTCTTTCTCACTGTGTCATATTTTGCCTTACAGCTTGGATGTTTCCCGTCTTTTCATTTGAAGTATGAATAAATATAAACATAATGTAACTGTAGCCTGACATTACCCTTTTCTTCCCTTGTTTGATACAATACATGGAACAGTGTATAAATCGCCATAGCAGATTCTCTTGTAGAAAATATTGTTAGAAAACAAAATCACACTACACCATGATCAAGTACTCTTAGATTTGTTCATTTCGTGATGACATTTTTAATTCTCTAATTTTGATGAATATTTTTGTCATTTTTGGTAAAAAGTGATATTTTCGATTTTTTGTTAAAAACCACAAGTCCGATTCCTTTGATATAAGTAGACCTCTCTCAGACTTGTTCATTTTCTGATAATATCTTCAATTATCTAATTTTGATGAATATTTTTGTCATTTTTCATAAGAAGTTATATTTTTTACTTTTTGTTGAAAACCACAAGTCTGATGGATTTGATATTATAAATATAGGTACCGGTACTACAGGTAGACCTCTATCAGATTTGTTCATTTCATAATGATATCTTCAATTCTCTAGTTTTGATGAATATTTTTGTCATTTTTTGGTAAAAAGTGCTGTTTTGACTTCTTGTTGAAAAACCAAGTCCAATTGTACAATAGGTAAACCTCTTCCAGATTTGTTCATTTTCTAATGATATCTTCAGTTCTTTAATTTAAATGTGCATTGCTAACAGTGGAGCTATCTCAGCCGAGAGGCTGCTTGTTTTGAAATGTTGTGATCTATGGATTGTTATTAATGCATGTTGAACTTAAATTAAACTTTTGTATTGATATAGGTGTTCCAGAATTATTTGACATTTTGTGGTATTGGTCTGATGAACGCTCAGTTATTTGAAATGTCTGTCTTGGAGTACAAGAGAAACCAGGTGAGTACGGGCTATGTAACGTGCATGCATTAGCACCATGGTCAATGTCAATTAGGTACATCAATGTTTGTAAATTGATAATTACCACCCAAGAGATAAATTTGATTATGACAACTGTGAATTTGTATTCCCCAGATTTTCACACAGCTGAGAAATGATTTGTCTGCAAA